ACAATGTACACCACACAGGACAAAAACAATGCTACACAGGAGCACACGCATCACTAACTAGGTACACACAGTTGTACAACGTCACAACAAGGTACACACAGGTGTTACACACGTACACTAACAACATACTCACAGTGTACACACATTACCAACAAGGTATTTTTTTTGTTTCACAGTGTACACGTCACCAACAAGGTACACACAGTGTACACACGTCACTAACAACATACACACAGTGTACACACATTACCAACAAGATACACACAGTGTACACGTCACCAACAAGGTACACACAGTGTACACACATCACCAACAAGGTACACAGTGTACACACATCACTAATATACACACAGTGTACACACATTACCAACAAGATACACACAGTGTACACGTCAACAACATGGTACACACAGTGTACACACCATTACCAACAAAGCGTACACAGTGTTACAAGTCACACAACAAGGTACTCACAGTGTACTACACATCACCAACACAGGTAACACAGTGTACCAACATCACTAAACATAACACAGTGTAAAACTCACTAACAAGGTACTCACAGTGTACAACGTACACTAAACAAGGTTAAACCACCAGTGTTAACACATCAACAAGGTACACAGTGTAGACGTTTACAACAAGGTACACATAGTGCACACACATCACTAACAAGGTACACACAGTGTAGACGTCACCAACAAGGTACACACAGTGTACACACATCACTAACAAGGTACACACAGTGTACGTCACCAAGGTACACACAGTGTACACACATCACTAACAAGGTACACACAGTGTACACGTCACTAACAACATACACAGTGTGCACACGTCACTAACAAGGTACACACAGTGTACACGTCACTAACAACATACACAGTGTACACACGTCACTAACAAAGGTACACACAGTGTACACGTCACTAACAACATACACACAGTGTATACACATCACTAACAACATACACAGTGTACACACACCACTAACAACATACACACAGTGTACACACATCACTAACATACACAGTGTACACACATTACTAACAAGGTACACACAGTGTACACACATTACTAACAAGGTACACACAGTGTACACACATCACTAACAAGGTACACACAGTGTACTCATATTACTAACAAGGTACTCACAGTGTACACATCACTAACAAGGTACAGTGTACACATTACTAACAAGGTACACACAGTGTACACATCACTAACAAGGTACAGTGTACACATTACTAACAAGGTACCCTCCCTTAACACAGTGTAAACATCACTACACAAGGTACAGTGTACACATTACCTTATCAAAGGTAAGTTTACAACTTCACTAACAAGGTACAGTGTACAACTCACTAACAGCTACACATAGTTGGACACACATCAACAAGGTACACACAGTGTACACACATCACCAACAAGGTACACACAGTGTACACACATCACCAACAAGGTACACACATCAACAAGGTACACACAGTGTACACACAACAAGGTACACACAGTGTACACACATCAACAAGGTACACACAGTGTACACACATCAACAAGGTACACACAGTGTACACACATCAACAAGGTACACACAGTGTACACACATCACCAACAAGGTACACAGTGTACACACATCCACAACAAGGTAACACAGTTGTACATCACTTATCAACAAGGTACACACATCACCAACAAGGTACACACAGTGTACACGCATCACCAACAAGGTACACACAGTGTACACGCATCACCAACAAGGTACACAGTGTACACACATCACCAAACAAAAGGTGCACTCAGTGTCCACACCACATCTCCAACAAGTGCACACAGTGTACACGCATACACATCAAGGTACACAAGTGCACACACATTCACAACAAGGTACACTGTGTAACACACAATCAACAGGTGCACACAGTGTACACGCCATCACCACAAGGTACACACATCCAACAAGGTACACAATCACAACAAGGTACACACGGTGTACACGCTCTAAACACCAACAAGGTACACACGTGTACACACATCACCAACAAGGTACACAGTGTACAATAATCCAACAAGGTGCACACACAGTGTACACGCCATCACCAACAAGGGCTCACACAGTGTAAACAAATCCACAAACAACGTCTACGCACAGTGTACACTCCTCAAACAAGGTTGCTAAACAGTGTACACGCTTCACCAACATGGTAACACATCAACTATGTACTCACATTCACCAAAAGGTACACACAGTGTACACGCATCACACAACAAGGTACACACACAGTGTACACACATCACCAAAAAGTTACACAGTGTACCACACATCAACCAAGGTGCGCACAGTGTACACGCATCACCAACAAAGGTACCACACAGTGTACACACATCACCAACAAGTACACACATCACCAAAAGGTACACACATCACAACTGGTACAACACGGTGTACACACATTCACCCAACAAGGTACACACAGTTTACACACATCACCAACAAGGGTACACAGTGTACACATCACTAACAAGGTACACACAGTGTACACACATCACCAACAAGGTACACACATCACCAACAAGGTACACACGGTGTACACACATCACCAACAAGGTACACACGGTGTACACACATCAACAAGGTACACAGTGTACACATCACTAACAAGGTACACACAGTGTACACACATCAACAAGGTACACACAGTGTACACACATCACTAACAAGGTACACACATCACCAACAAGGTACACACAGTGTACACACATCAACAAGGTACACAGTGTACACATCACTAACAAGGTACACACATCATCAACAAGGTACACAGTGTACACATCACTAACAAGGTACACACATCAACAAGGTACACACAGTGTACACACATCACCAACAAGGTACACACAGTGTACACACATCACCAACAAGGTACACACTGTACACACATCACCAACAAGGTACACAGTGTACACACATCAACAAGGTACACACAGTGTACACACATCAACAAGGTACACACAGTGTACACACATCACCAACAAGGTATACACAGTGTACACACATCACCAACAAGGTACACAGTTGTACACACATCAAACAAGGTCACAATCGTGTAACACATCACTAACAAGGTACACACATCAAAAGGTACACCACTCCACCCAACAGGTACACCAGTGTACACACGTCACCAACACAGGTACACACAGTGTACACAAATCACAACAAGGTCACACTGTGTACACCAACAAGTTACACACATCACCAACAAGGATACACACAGTGTAAACACCATCACAACAAGGCTACCACACAGTGTACACACATCAACCAACAAGGTACACACAGTGTACACCACATACACCAAAAGGTTAAACACATCACTAACAGGTACACACATCAACAAGGTACACACAGTGTAGTACACCACCACAACCAAGGTACACAGATGTACCACATCACTAACAAGGTTAACACGTGTATACACATCACCAATAGGTACCATCAAGTGTTCCACACTCAACTTAGGTACACAGTGTACACATCACTAACAGGTTACACCCAGTGTAACACATTCACCAACAAGGTTACACTCAGTGTGCAACGCTTCACAACAAGGTATTACACACAGTGTACACACCTCACCAACAAGGTTACAAACACAGTGTACAACACATCACAAGGTACACAGTGTACACACATCACAAAGTACACACGTGTACAATAATCAACAAGGTACACCAGTGTACCACAACATCAACAAGGTACACAGTGTACACACATCAACAAGGTACACACAGTGTACACACATCAACAAGGTTACACTCAGTGTATAAACATTCAACAAGGTCCACCAGTGTAACACATCACCAACAAGCATTACCCACAGTGTACACACATTAAGCAACGGTACAACACAGTGTACACACATCACAAAAAGGTATCACACGTGTACACCATACCAACAAGGTACACACATCACTATACAAGGTACACACAGTGTACACATCACTAACATTCTCAGGGTACCCACATCACTAACAAGGTAACACATCCACTAACAAGGTACACACGTGTACACACTTCACAAAAAAGGTACACAAAGCACCTACATGGTACACACAGTGTAAACACTTCACCTAGGTACACAAATCACCAACAAGGTCAACACAGTGTACACACATCTACCTTCAAGGTACCACACATCCACCAACAACGGTTACACAATCACCAACAAGGTAACACAGTGTACACACATCACCAAGGTACACTCATCACAAGGTACACACATCACCAACAAGGTACACACATCACCAACCAAGGTACACACCAGTGGGTACCCCCCCCCCCCACACATCACCAAGGTACACACATCACCAAGGTACTCACATCACGCAACAAGGTACACACATCACAACAAGAGTTCCACATGTACTACATCACAGGGTCACACATCACCCCCCAAAGGTACAACATCACCAAGGTACACCACTTCACAAGAGTCCGGTACCACACATCACCAAGGTACACACTTCACCAAGGGTTACACACTCACCAAGGTACACCATCAACAAGGTACACACATCACCAAACAAGGTACACACCTGTGAACACACATCACCAAGGTACACACAATCCACCAAGGTACACACATAACGAACACACATTACACAGTGTACACAACATCACTAACAACATACACACAGTGTACACCACATACACTAACAACATACAAAGTGTTAACAACATCACTATCGTCAATACACTCAGTGTACACACATCACTAACAACATACACAGTGTACACACATCACTAACAACATACACACAGTGTACACACATCACCAAGGAACACCATCACCAGTGTACACACTATCACTAAAACATACACACAGTGTAAACACATCACCAAGGTACACACATCAACAGTGTACACACATCACTAACAACATACACACAGTGTACACACGCCAGTAAGACAGGTATACACAGGTGGTGTTACATACTTTATGTAGTGGTGGGTCGCTGGTAGGTTCATCATCGCTGGAGTAAGACTGTAAAGCGTTCATTGTACGTGATGTAACACAGTACACCAACACCAAACTTAAAATGGACTTGACCTCCCTCACTCCCTCCCTCACACTCACCAGGATCCCTCTCCCTCTTATTATCCTTTCTTACTAACTCCTCACAACCTCATTCTCCGTAATATGATTTACTGTATCCAAATTTTAGTAAAGGAAAAGTGGGTGTTGTTGTAATTTCTTAAATAATGGCTGGTTGATTGTTGAATTCAGTGGGGATGGGTTCCCGGGTTTTATCTATGGTCCCTTTTAACATTTCTTGTATAATATTTGAAGTGTTTTACAATTATAATGTAGCGTAATACGTAAATTCTTTTTTTTTTATCGGAAATGGCCCATGAGATAATCCAATGTTATTATATAATAATGATTTAAGGCATATTGTATGTAATTATTCACCCCAACAAAAACTTCTTAACATACAATACAATACAATAAAATACAATACAATACAAGTTTTTTTTTCTACACGATACATCATTCATGTTGAAAGCCCTCCTGTAGGCCTATTGGCCCATACTAGACAATTCTAACTCACACCCACTCATGTACTTGTCTAAGCTATTTTTAAAGTGTTTGTTCCACTCATTACCTGGAGTTTACCTGGAGTTTACCTGGAGTTTACTCTATTACCAAACTTCCCTATATCCTATATAAATCTAAATTTTCTGACTTTAACCCACTGAGTCCTGTCTTGGTTAAATATTTTCATCATGTTATTTATATCCCCATTATTTATTTCTGTCTTCCATTTATCCACCATCTATACTCCATCTATATTCCTCCTTCATTAGTATGTAGATGGGAGTGGTTGGGCTCGAGAACGACCTTCCTAGTATGGGCCAGTAAGCCTGCAACAGTGCTCCACCATTCTTATCATATCAGGACTCCTGTTATTTATACTTCTCGATATGAAGCCAAGAATTCTATCAGCATTAATGCGAGGTTTTATACACTGTTGATGGGCCGGACACTGACTCCAGGCTAAGGGACTGATTACCTCAGACTTCTCCGTATTGGACTGAGGAAGCCACTCTGGCGAAACTTTTCCACAGATCCAAAAATGTTGCACAAGTGTAGATTATCTAAATCATCGACCTCACTGATGTCCTGGCTTAAAGATTTTTTTCCTTCTTTTTTTTTTTTGTTTTTTTTTTTGCCACCAGAAACTAAAACTTAATCCACATCACAGCACTTGCCGGTGGCCTGGTGGCTAAAGCCTCCCGCTTCACACTCGGAGTGGCACGGGTTCGATTCCCGGCGGGTGGAAACATTCGACACGTTTCCTTACACCTGTTGTCCTGTTCACCTAGCAGCAAATAGGTACCTGGGTGTTAGTCGACTGGTGTGGGTGGCATCCTGGGGGACAAGATTAAGGACCACAATGGAAATAAGTTAGACAGTCCTCGATGACGATGACTTTCTTGGGTTATCCTGGGTGGCTAACCCTCCGGGGTTAAAAATCCGAACGAAATCTTATCTTATCTTACTTTCTAAGTGCCAGGGTTATTCTGTGTTCTTGCTTTACCACTTTACATTGTCTATATTATACTGCGTCTGACACTTCTCCGAGGGGGGGGTCCAACTGGCGTCTGACACTTCTCCCCGGACCATGCGTTGACACCTTTTTTTTCCTTTCCGACCACTGCGGTCTGACACTTCTCGACCAATGCATCTGAACTTCTCGACCACACTGCATCCTGACAATTCTCCGACCATTGCATTGACACTTCTCGACCACTCGCCATATTGTCCATTCTCCGACAATGCATCATGCCACTTCTCCGACACTGCACCTGACACTTCTCCGACCACTGCATCTGACACTTCTCCGACCACTGCATCTGACACTTCTCCGACCACTGCATCTGACACTTCTCCGACCACTGCATCTGCCACTTCTCCGACCACTGCGTCGACACTTCTCGACCACTGCATCTGCCACTTCTCCCGACCACTTGCATCTGACACTTCTCCGACCACGCATCTGACACTTCACCGACCACTGCGCTTGACACTTACGACACTGCGTCTGACACTTTCTCCGACCACCTGCATCTGAACACTTCTCCGACCACTGCGTCTGACACTTCTCCGACCACTGCGTCTGACACTTCTCCGACCACTGCATCTGCCACTTCTCCGACCACTGCATCTGACATTTCTCCGACCACTGCATCTGACACTTCTCCGACCACTGCGTCTGACACTTCTCCGACCACTGCGTCTGACACTTATCCAACCACTGTATCTGACGCTTCTCCGACCACTGCGTCTGACACTTCTCCGACCACTGCATCTGACACAAGGCACAGTACTAGCTCCCATCTTGTTCCTCATCCTCATATCCGACTAGACAAGGATGTCAGCCACAAGCACCCGTGTCTTTCCTTTGCAGTGACACCGAATCTGCATGGAAGTGTTCTTCCATTGCAGACACTGCAAGGCTCCAGGCGGACATCAACCAAATCTTTCAGTGGGCTGCAGAAAACAATATGAAGTTCAACGATGAGAAATTTCAATTACTCAGATATGGTAAACATGAGGAAATTAAATCTTCATCAGAGTACCAAAACAATTCTGGCCACAAAAAATAGTGCGAAACACCAACGTCAAAGACCTGGGAGTGATTATGCGGAGGATCTCACCTTCAAGGCCCATACATTGTATCATCAGACCATTGCTAGAAAAATGACAGGTATGCGATAATGAGAACCTTCATAAACTAGGGAGGCCGAGCCATGTTGGACACTCTTCAGGTCACCTTGTTCTATCTAGGCTGAAATATTGCTGCACTCTAACAGCACCTTTCAGGCAGGCTGAAATTGCCGACCTAGAAAATGTACAGAGAACTTTTCACGTGCGGCTTTAACGGAGATAAAACACTCCAATTACTGGGAGCGCTTGCGGTTTCTAAAACCTGTACTTCACCTGGAACGCAGGAGGGAGAGATTACATGATTATATTTAAATCCTGGAAAATCTAGAGGGACTATGATACGAACTTGCACAGAAAATCACTCGCTACGAAAGCAAAGACTTGCTAGACGATGCACCATCCCCCAATGAAAAGCAAGGGTCGTCACTAGCACGTTAAGAGACCAGACAAAAGTGTCAGGGGACTCGAGGACTGTTCAACTGCCTCACAGCAACACTTAGGGGGATTACCAAACAGACCCCTGGCAGTCTTCAAGCTGGCACTGGACAAGCACCTAAAGTCAGTTCCTGATCAGCCGGGCTGTGGCTCGTACGTTGGTTTGCGTGCAGCCAGCAGCAACAGCCTGGTTGATCAGGCGCTGATCCACCAGGAGGCCTGGTCACAGACCGGGCCGCGGGGGCGTTGACCCCGAAACCTCTCTCCAGGTAAACTCCAGGTAAACCACTGCAGTGAAAAGGCACATCTCCGGACCACTGCATCTGAAATACTTCTCCGACCACTGCGTCTGACACTTCTCCGACCACTGCGTCTGACACTTATCCGACCACTGTATCTGACACTTCTCCGACCACTGCGTCTGACACTTCTCCGACCACTGCATCTGCCACTTCTCCGACCACTGCATCTGCCACTTCCTCGACCATTGCATCTGACACTTCTCCGACCACTACGTCTGACACTTCTCCGACCACTGCATCACACTATACAGATCATCCTGTAGCACTATCGGTGTGCCCTCATTAGAAATAATCTGACGGCTGTTATTAAGTATCATCACAAAATTGCTTATGTCACTATTCATTCTACACTGATACCTGGGGACATCGCTTGAGACGCGTCCCCACTCTGATTTCTCAACATTTATGCAAATTTCTCTGTTGCCTAACAGTCGACCACATCTCTATCCAGAAAAGAGTTCTTCTCTTCCGTGTGTCTTTACTTTCCTCAACAATCACTGGTGTGGAACGCTGTTCAAAAGGAAAAAAACCTTTTTTTAACTTTTTTTTGCGGAAGTCCAATATACACAATATCCCTTAATGTTCCTTCATGCATGATCTACCTCCTCAAATACCTTAGTAAAAAAAAAAAATCGTAAGATAGCAACGGCCCTTTGTAAAACCATGCTGAAATTCATTGATCATTTAGTCTTTCAAGGTGACTTCGATAAGCCGGCAATTATTGATTCTATTAATTATCCCACAAAGTAGGTTAGGACCCGTCTCCTGCTTTGTAGACAGGTATCACATTTGTTATTATCCACTTATCCTGCACTATACCAGTTTGGAATGATATGTTGAAAAGACTTAGGAGCAGTTCATCAGTGCTCGGGGATTTGTTTGGTTTTAATCTATCCATTTGCCTGAGAATCATGTAACTAGTGACGTTGATGATGCATAATTTATATTCGTCCCGACTTACATAATTTATGATTTCTGGAATTTCTCAAGTATCTTCCTGCATTAAAACGAAGAGGAAATAAGTGTTGAAGATAGTATGCATTTCTCTGTCAGTTTTAGTTTAATAGGTTTAGTATGCCCATACCAATACTGTGGGCGGTAGTCCAAAAGTTTTACAGAGGTATCATAATTGGTCAGCGGTCTGGGCCTTAATGTTTTGATAGCTGAGCAAGTTACAGAGTAATGAATTCACCAATTATACAAAGGTATTGAAACTCACTAAAATTACAAAGGTAATGAACTCCGGGTAGGTCTAGTCACAATCATGACAAGTTACAAAGGTATTTACAGATTACAGAGGTACGTAATGGAATCCCAGGGACTGGGACCCTCAAAGTTTGGATGGCTGCCTGAACTAGTACAAGGTAATGAACTCACAAGTTACAAAGGTAATGAAATACTCGCTGTCAGAAGGTTACTTACGTTTATTCATGGCTACAATCATGAAACAAATTATAGTCGTAATGAAGCAATTCACACTTCCACACCCGGATCACAACTGTAGTGAGTTATTGGTGCAAATATTGATTGTTGAGGTCACACACCATCACACACACACCACACACACACCACACACACAATTATACAAATTCAACCACACCAC